AAAAGTGGCGCAGAACTATCAACCGATCACCAGTCTTGTTGTTGGCACCCTGCGCTGTAAGAAATAGAGTACATACGAAGATCTGGTGGCAGAAACAACCGGAGAATCAAATGGGAAACATTATCTTCGGTGGACACGAGAGCGAAATTTGCGAACAACATCGCACGACAGTTTGAACAGATCGCAGTGATGACAACTGATGTTGAAACCGAGTGGCAGCTCTTAAAGAAAGCCATACTAGAGCCTGCCGCTGAATGCTGCGCATATAAACGGGTTGGCCTGCCGCCTGGAGGACGAAAAAAATTTTCATGGTGGATAGGAGAGGTACATCTGGCAGTTAAGGAGAAGAAAACAGCGTTCAAGAAATGGCTTGGAAACAAGGAGCCATCTACTCGCGAGCGATATGTCGAGGCACGCAAGGCGGCAGCCATAGCAGTGGCAAAAGCCAAAGGTGATTCCTGGGAAAAGTTCGGTGAGGTGCTGAAGTCGAATTTCCACATGGCAGACCATCCGCCGGCTCCGAGGTCTAAAGAAGGGCAGTCTCAGAGTCTTGAAGTACAGATCTAGACACCCTCTTACCAAGGATGATGACATTCTTCGGCGATGGAAGGAGCACTTTGAGAAACTCCTTAACCCCTCGCAACAGCAGGAAGACTCGCCTGTAGAGCAGAAGGGTGCGGATATTACTATCTCTGTAGATGAAATTGCAGAAGCTGTAAAAAGCTTGAAAAATGGAAAAGCTGCTGGAATTGACGAAATTCGCTTTGACATTCTCAAGGCATTCGGCGAATAAGGCATGTGCTGGCTAACACGGTTCTGTGAAATTGCGATGACTGCGGGAAAGACACCAGCGAACTGGAGAACGGAGTTGTTGCACCCTTATTCAACAAGGGAGACCACTAGGAATGCTCCAATTATAGGGGCATAACGTTATTGAGCCTCCCAAGTAAAGTCTGCGCAAAGGTGTTAGAAAGGAAGTGCCGTGAAACAGTTGGCCTCAGGATTCAAGAAGAGCAGTGTGGCTTCGGGCCTGGTCAAAGCTCCTCTGACCATATATTTGTCCTGCGCCAGATTGTAGAGAAATCGTGGGATAACTCCCAGCCGGTGTAGATGAGTTTTGTAGACGTGGAAAAAGCATATGACCGGATCCCACGCAACAGTCTGTGGACTTATTTCGTGCATACGGGATAGATGGCCAGTTGCTAAGGGCCATCCAATCACTGTTTTCTGATGGTAGGTGCTGCGTCGGAGTTGATGGCGTTAAGTCTAAACCATTCAACGTTCGTACTGGTCTCCGCCGAGGCTGTGGCCTGTCCCCTCTCATGCTTGAGTTGTAGATGGATAGAATAATCAGGAGCTGCCAAGGCGATGAGGGCATCGGTGAAGTCGAGAAGGTTGCTTTTGCAGAAGACTTTGTTTTATTAGCATTTTCTGAAACTGATCTTCAGTGCTGCCTAGAAAGGTTCGCAGCCGAATGCGACGTGACCGGCATGCGTGTGAACGGATCTAAAAAGAAAAGCATAGTGCTTCCTCGTTCTCCTGTCCGTTGCTCTCTCCAGATTGACGGACCGGCAGTGGAGTAGGTAGGGAAGTTCAAGTACCTCGGAACTGTATTTACTAGTGATAGAAAATTGGAGGAAGTGCTCGACCGGCGAATTGGAGTAGCCAGTGGCATTCTGCGTGAACTAGCCCGACCCATTGTGACTAAAGCAGAGCTCAGTCTGAAAACTAAGCTCTCGATATT